AACCAAGCCAATTCCATCGTTTCAATACACCATACTATTCCATCTTGGAAAAAAAAACCATATCTTTGCACTCTCTTTGAACAAACCAAGCCCATTCATTCCATCTTCTGTTCATGAAAAGAAAAGAGAGAGAGAAAAAATGAAGCCAACCGCTGTCCTCGCCGGCGTCTGCATCCCTGCTCTGGCCTATGCTTTCAACTTGTTCAACCCTGCTTTGTACAATGTCCGCCTTGGCTTCCGGTGGAAATTCATCGACGGCCCGGAGTCGGGCCTCAAAGACATCACGTTCCCCGTCAACATGGCCAAGACCTCCCGCGAGCAGGGCTACTACCTCTCGCAGCAGTTCGGCTTCCACGGCGTCCGGCGCCAGGGCCACATCGCCATCCAGCCGCGCCCCGACAACAGCAAGGGCCAGGCCATGCTCCGCGCCAACTTCACCTCGCACCAGGCCGGCACGGCCACCTGCCACCCGGCGTGCCAAGCCGGCCCTGGGCTCGGCGGCGCCGAGGGCAGCCGCGACGGCGTCACCTGCGCCATCGACGTGCCTGCCGACTACGCGCACACCTTCAACCTGACCGTCGAGAACGTCCGCGACGCCAACACCTGGCGCGGCCTCCTCGTCGACACCGTCACCCGCAAGACCCACGAGATTGGCGTCTGGACCCTGCCCAGCGGCGCCGGCGACATCCAGCGCTCCCGGTTCGGCTTCGTCGAGTACATCCGCCAGCCCGGAAGCCCGGGCGGCTGCGAGAACTACCCCAAGCTCGAGGCCACCATTTACCACCCCTGGTCCAACTCGGCCGGCGCGGGGGAGCTCCACGGCGTGGGTAGTATGGACATGGGCATGTGCGGTAAGAATATTTTCAAAAAAATTAAGGTCACGAATGGGTTCACCGTCTACTACGGCCGGGCGTAGCTCTGTCTGTGCCTTGGTACATACGTGTGCCTCGATTGTTGCGGAAAAAAAAAGGGGGGGGGAGGGAGTTGCGTATCGTTTTGTGTATACTCGATAACTACTCCGTATTATAATTTGTAATTTCACTTGACTACAGAGCGAAGCTATATTCCCCGTTAGTATTATAATTTGCCGAAAATAGAGGACCCCTGTTAGACAATTATCTAGTATATATGCCTTTTGTGCCCCTTGCCGCGAATACCATATGACATGAGCCAGGGTGGCCGGGTCCTTACAAAGGCTGAATTGAGCCACCCATTCTATATATTGGACACCAGAAGAAAAACAAATTCAATGCTTACAATGCTCCCCTCATCAGACGCCGTAATGCAGTGTGATTGATGATTGCTGGTGGGCCGGGGCACATGCCAAGACCGTCAAGAAGGGACGATCGGTTGCGGATGCCACGCGGCACGACCCGCAACGACCGACGCCGATGCTGGTGGAGACTCCGATATTGTCGATTTATTGCAGAGCTCTCCACTACTACGGAGCCCGCCGGGCGACGCGGGAGATGCAAATACGACCCATCATTCATCTCAGAGATGCAAAATGACGACCCATCCCATCTCCTCATTCCTGAACCCGCCTGCAAGTCGTCTACAAACCGCGTGGCATAAGTGATAAATTTCTGAGTATATACAACACAAGATGAGTGGTATCTGATCTGTAATAAATATCCCAAAGTCCAAGCTCCCAAGTATCAGGTTCAGTATCTACATGTCCAGATTCATCGTCCATCCATAACGCCAGACATATCCCCATTCAAAACGTATTCAAATCTCTGACATTCTTCATTGTTCCTCGTCCTCGTGGATTGTAAAGCCCATTTCATCGCCGGGCCACGCTCGCTGCGTGCTGGGATACTCGGACGGCTGACTGCTGCCCTCGCTGTCTCCCTGGGGGTCGTCAGGGTCCACATTTTCCCCGTTGGAAGAGCCCTCCTGATCTTCGATGCCGGGCCACGGCTCGTCCTCAGGTAGCTGCTCTGCATGTCCTGGCTTAATCGAAGGCCGGGTCATGTCTTCACTGCTGGAGATACTCTCTTGGCCGTCGTGGTATGACTCCTCGCCGCTGTCGTAGATTTCTACTTCAAACCGCTCGTCTGTTGGGTATTCCATGGCCATGTGGGATACTGCGCTACGGGCGACGCTGCCTCCTCGTATGGGGCGCAACTCCTGTAGAGGCGCATTGCTGAAGGGCGTGGCGTAGGCGGGCGGCGTCATGCCGCGGGTGACTTGACGATCGTTGATGGCAGACGGCATCGGACTGGGAGACGCGGTCCACCGTGGCGTGTGGTGCAGGTAACTCGGGGAGCGGGTGCTGCGTCTTTTCTGGATGCCTTGGTGTGAGCTGCGGCCGAAGGGGGACGAGTGCCTGGATGGTTGCACACCGTGGGAGACGATGCTGCGACGACTGGCGGCGCTTGGGGTGGGTTGGGCTGTTAGGGGGGCCGAGGCCGTGCGGATGTGAGGTAGTCGCGGGGCGGGACGGCGTCCAGAGGAGAGCATCGGAGACGGATGGCGGATGGCAGCGGGGCTGACTGATCGCCATGGTTGTTCGAGCGAAATGAGTGCTGGCGAGACAGTGTGCTGGCGGCGTTGGCGCATGTTGAGTGACGTCGGAATGCTGGGGGCCTCATCGAGTTGTTCGTTCCACAGCCAGCAGTGCTCCATGGCGTCAGCTTCCTTGACTTGTTGGGATTCCGACACATCTGGTGAGACACGGTCCATCTCACGGACTCGTTGCCACGCCCAGCCGGACTCGTATGCCTCATAGTCTTGTATGTAGGCGTCTGGGTGGGTAATGAAGAGTCGAGGTTCGGCAGACTTCATGGCTACCGAGTGCAGGAAGCTGACGTCCCATAATGTAGGGGTCAGCATTTCGGCGGCGCTGAGGAATCGAAGCCGGGATTCTTTGCGGACTTTGCGAAGGGGTGCCCATGATTCCTGGAGTCCAAGGTACCTTGAGAGACGTGGGTCAGTAGGCTGGCGTCGGGGGGTAGTGCCCATGGTTCGAAAGACTGGACCAAATGCCTCGTGGATGCCGGCTTGGACGCTTCTGGCATCGGGGCCGTAGAAGGACACGGTTTGTATTAGACCACGGCTCCGTAGCCTTTTGTCCTGAGTGCTTTTATCACCACAGGCCCTGGGGTAAAGCCACTCCGCGTCGTGGTCGGAAACAGTCCAGTCGCCGCCAAACGGTGATTGAGACCGCAACGTTGCGCTACTGAGTGTCATGGGGATTTGCGTCCAATCGTCATTGCTAATGCTGGCATCGTTTTTGAACTGCGAGAGTTCTTGCCAGAGTCTTTTCAGTGGAAATGGCAAAAAGACCACCTCGATTGTCCATGCGTGGCCATGTGATGGGAGAAACGACTGAAGGTGAGTGACTTGGGCTCGCAGGCTGTCGATCTGAGACATAATTTCTTCTGGGTTTGGCCGGCTGGCAGAGCCTGCAGCTGTCGAGAAGACACTTTTAACACCATCGTCTTCTCCGTCGGCTTGTTTGTTGGTCAAGCCTGCAACATCCATGACCTTCTCTACACCCTCCATCCTCTGCTCTAGTTCAGTTACACGTAAATCCATATGGTCATGCAAATCGACGCATTCTTCATGCCCATTTGCAGAGAACGAAACAGTCTCCAGGCGGTCCAGACGTTGTTCATGACCACTCACTACGTCTGACAGGTTTCGAAGAGTCTCTCGGGAAATTCTATGGGCTGCTGCAGTAGCTCGAGGTTCAAGTTGAGTAGCAGTGTCGGGCTGTGACGTTGCCAGTCCTTGTACATTACGGTCAACAAATACGAAGTCATCGTTTGATGTGGCAGGGTCCGCAGGCGCAGCACTTGGAAGATTTTTATCAACTTTTGATGGTGGTGGTTGTTGTTGTTGCCGCGGTGAGCGGGGTCCAGGGGGAGTTACATCAAGTGTACCAAGACCTTTCCCAGCAAATGGTCTCTGGTACTTGGCCTGAATAGAAGAGGTGGTGGAACCAGTCTGAGAGGCCATCAGAAACTGGGACGGAATAGGGGGCAACGCCATAGGGTCGGAGGGTGGTCTTGGACACTGCGACGGCTGTTGAAGATATTCCTCCCATGCCAACGTATCCGGCATGGAGCCTAGAGGATGGGGACTGGCCTCTTGCTTCGAAGTGTCCTCAAACTCATGAACAAAGGAAAGAGGAATGCCAGGACTAAAGGCAGCGAAATCAAATCCGGGTACGGTAGAAACACCTTGCATAGATGCATCCACGACGGGGCTCAGTGGTTCGCGTCCGGTGCGGGGTCTCTCATTTTCTTGTCCAAGGGGCGCGAAACCAGTTTGTTGCGGCAATTGCTGTTGCTGCTGCTGTGCGTCATCACGAGATCGTTCATCGTGATAGCACGCGTGATGAGCGCACATACACCATCCAGACTGGCCAGCAACAGGATTCCCCATCGCCTGGCGAGGCCAGAAACGACGGCATCCACATTTTGCTCCGGTGGCCCCAGGCGTCAGGTCAACAAAATTGCACGATCCATTAGGCAGGCTCGGAGAAGGCGGCGGCAACGAGGTAGCAGCATCAGTATATATATCGAATGGACTCGTGCCCGTGTTTGAGGGATTTGGGAGGTTGGCGGCCATTGGATCGCGGGAGAAGCGTATTTGATGAGACACGATTCGACACGATAACAGAATTCGAAGAACGGCTCGCGCGAAGCTCGGTCAGGTTGTCGTGACCAGGCGGCTTACGCTGGCCCCAGCAGGGTCGCTCGCAAGACGCAATGGTCTAGTTCATTGCACTGGAAACAGGGTGGGAATGAAGTCAGCTCAAGAAAAGAATGATGATTCTCAACAGGCACGAGGTAAATTCAGACCGCAGGAGATAAGGCGAGGTGGGACGAACAAGATGGGTGGTGGTTGCTATATTCCGATTGACTGTCGCGTCGAGCTTCTGGCGCTGAGGTCGGACCGAGTGGCATGAGAGGCCCTTTAAGTAGTTGAGCAGGACGAGGGCGGGACGAGAATTATATAGCGCATTCGGAGCAGAAATCGGGCGCAAGATGCCACCGGCTGGGCAACGAAAGAAATATAACGGCAGCGGAGCCAAGGTCGTCACGCAGCTGGAGGTCGCAGGGCCAGATGAGGCGGAGGGATGGGAGAGAAACCAGGACTTTCAGGACGTCGAGGGTGGACATTGGGGTGGTGGAGAAAGACAGAAAGACGACCGACAGCAGCATTGCAGCAGCTCTTGTGCATTTCGGGACACGCATCACACCCCCCAGGACCCCCAAAGCCGGCTCAAAAAAGGCGACATCAGTAAGGCTTTGCTGCCTTGTCGACCTGCATGGCGTGGCTCAAAACAGCCAATGTCTGCTTTGCCCAGCTGACGGGCGTTGGCGTTGATGTTACCATCCAATCCCACAGACAGGTTTGGAGACGTGTGGTTCAACGCCGGCATCGTCAGCCACCAAAGCTCAACGGCATCAGCGTCGACTCACCCAGATCCACAATTGCGTCTTGCTTTCGAGTCACAGCTGCATACATTAAAGCTGCCCCGGCTCAAGGACGATGGGTGCTTAGAACCATAAAGAGCCGAGCCTGGATGGATTGGATGGCCTTGGCCTGCCTGGCACCTTGAATGACGCCGAGCATTTCACCACCGCGCCTGTCCAGGTATTTTTGAGAGCACAAGCTTAAGCCTACCCCGCCAAGTCGCGCGCTTTACGCCTTCACGTTCTCTGAAAAGTACATGGACGGATGCGCCCCGCTGTCGCGCCGTCCCGCCAATGGCGGCGCCTGGGAACCCGTTCCGGGAGTTGCTCCACTAAAAAGTAGTAGCATCGGGACATCTGGATCACTGCTTCTGCCCCGGAATGCAGCCCTCAAGCGACCATTGTTTGGTCTTGCAGTGGTTCTAGTATCCAATGCTGCTCTGGAACCTCAGGGCCATCTTGCAGGCATTCGGCACTCAACCACTCCAGCTGTGCGGACAGGCCGGTCCGGCGCCGGGTTATGTGTTTGGGGCACGTTGTTCAAGTACCAGACGCGACACACACATTCTGTGCGTTTCTGCAGATGCATCATCTGATCTGAGAGCCCAAAGGCATGGCCATCTTGCGTACCCGAGTGACTTTCTGCGCTCGAGCACGTAGACTCTCCTGGTACGAGAGAGGGGTCAACGCGCAACCTCTGACTCAACGGGCGGTATGAAGATAGAGGCCTCAGGAATAGCATGTCGACTACTTAAGTACTTTAGGTATTGTACTCGGTACGGCGCACACCAAGCATCTGGATGGTGTCAATCTGCAAGGAACCAGGACACACATCACATCAAGTGGTGGCCTCGTCAGCACCGCCAATTGGCACTTGCAGCCTATCGCGCCATCGACCGGCAGTCAAGATCCAGGACGTGGGAGATTCGTCCGCCCATGCATCGGGAACCGTCTTGTGCGCGACACGGCTCCGCAACAAACACGCCTAGTCGGGCGACCAATGGATTGGCTGGCGGCCAAGGCCCAATGGCAAAAATCCATACATACCCTCAAATCCATCATATGTATTGTATGCGTACTCCGTATCTCTGTGTCGATACCATGGCGCCATGTGTGGAATGCGCCAGACCTTGTCCGCATCCACTCGCTCGTTCACGCACACACGCCCACAACTCACCTTGGGTCGTGAACGTGTGACAAGTGCTGCTGTCCTGGAAAAGGCCGACACCCTGATATGGGGCTGCCAGCTGCCCCGGAATTGTTCCTGCGACGTCCTCAATCTAACCGCTCGCCGGGACTTGGTTTCGAGTTTCCTGGGGCCATAAAGCTCGAAACACGCTCTATTGACGATATACGGAGTATACTTTTGAGCATGGCGAGGTTCCTCCCCACATATGCCCACCCAGTTACTCCGTACTCCAAACATCCATTATTAAAACCCATCACAACCAATGCGCGCCTCCCAGTTAAGTTGGCCATTGTACAAACGCCCGTATGATCCTTTGCATCCAGCAGATCACCTCGCGTTGTGCAAAGAGTCTGGTTGCGTATGCCCGCCCCACGGGCCGCCGTTGGCGAAGATGGGTGACGAGGTCGGGCAGGCTTGCCGCGTCCCCACAGATCGTTGATGGTTGCGCCCCTGCCGACGACCGCTAACCACCAACCAATCAGGTGTATAGGAGCCGATACAATTCTTGCTCCAACTCGAACCTCGGGGCAGTATTTCTACGACATGGCGAAATGTTACCTTGATCAGACCGCGTAGTCCCTTGCGTGATAAGCGACAGCAATATACCTTGTCTCGCGTACATGTCCCGGCTGCCGTACAGCCGGTGGTTCACGGGCATCGTCGGCGGCCCAATGCAGGAACTCCAGAGGCAGCGGATGTTGTTCCGGGCGCGGAACCAGGGATAGTTCTTCTTTGCCGCCAACTAGTTAGCTTTTTCCCTCCATGTATAAAAATACATGTATGTATTTGATGGTTTTCCTTCTTGTCCAATTGCCCATCGCTCCCACGCCCATGGCAACGTACCGTCTCGATAGCTGGTGGTTCGCGCTCCTTGAGAGCGGCTCTTATACCACCGCCAGATTACAGCCACGGCTGGCGGGAGCGCAACTACCAGTGCAACAATGGCAACGGTTGTCTCTGGACTTAGCATAGCTTATTCCTGGGCGATGTTCCCCAGCCACTTAATAGATGGTTGTCGTCGTCGTAGCCAGCGTTAAAGCGATGTCGTGCAACGCAGGCTCCTTTTATAGGATTGATAGACCACAATTGGCGGATAAGGGTAGCTTGGAAATTACCGTGTCTGACTGAAGAAACAAGCTGTGTGACAAAGACGACAATGATGGAGGAGGAGAATAAGAAGAGGAGGAGGAGAAGAGGAAGAGAGGAAGAAGAAGGAGAAGGAGAAGGACGAGGACGAGGACGAGGACGAGGAAACAAAAGCAAGAACAGGGATGTATATGAAGATGTGCCGATGGCGATAAATTGGGATTGTGTGAAATAGTGGGCCCGATGTGGAAACGTGTGAAGTGCTAGGGGCCCGGTCAACTTTTGCTAGGCGCCCGGTTTTGCCCACGATACTTACTGCCAGCCTCACAGGTACATTTCCCATATAATATCATGGCAGCTAACATGAACACTAAAAAGCTCTATTATTTGATTTTTTTTTAATAAGGCCATAAGTACACACACCAAGTAAAAGCACTAGGAATCGCGTTTTTGAGCGATTTAGAGCCTGCCTGCGCCGGCGTTATTAAGAAACTCGTGTATTTATTTAATTACTTCTTGATTTTATTGAGAGCAATCGCGACCATGTATTTGTACTGAAAATGTACTGTTGGGGGTGGCAGCCAACTGCCAGCCCAGAAACAGCAAGGAGTGGGTCAAAACCGGGCCCCTAGCAAAAGTCGACCGGGCCCCTAGCACTTCACGGAAACGTCACGCAGAAAATATTGCGGTTTTGATGTCTTTGCCTCCGCATTTGGCGGAAATGAGGCGACATGACACCGGCAACCCCAGTGAAGCCCATCCATCAGGCTGACAGCGCAGCCAATAGCAATACGGAGTACTAGTGGCCTTGCAGTTTGTTCGCTTACAAAACTCCCCCAACAAGCATCTACACCGTCCTCGAACCAGTCACAATGATGGTGGCAGAGGAGCCTGCGTGATATCTTACTTCGTCAGGTTGTAGAGGAGCCCAGGCTGAATTTGAGTTGCACATTTCCAGCGACCCAAGTTGTGATGAATGTCATACATGCAGTGCAGGCATCGGACCCTGACAAGGCGGTCAGATGGCCCGTCAACCGGCAGCAGCAGCGCCTTCTTCCTCTTCTAGGCCTGCTAAGAAACGTGACCGCCGGCCGCTTTACATCAACGTGTATATTCAGTGCCTAAATACGTATGGTTCGGGGTAGTGTATATGTTGTTTCTCTACTTATGCGTGTCCCGGCCATCCAAAACTTCAATCCAAATAGGAAAAGATCAAAAACTCCGTTAACATCTGTTCGTTAGATACTGTACAAGTTTCAGTCCATAGAGCGTATGAACTCCGGTATGCAGCGTCGTGATTAGACTACACTTCACCCCAGCTTCCCATTGGGCCGTTGGAGGCAATGACCGACCCAGTGCCGAGAGAGCCACCGATATCCCAATAGTGCCTTGATGAACAGCTACTTCTCCGAGCCGACCGCCTAGTACTTTGGCTGGCGCAGCTGCTGTGGTGGCGCAAGACCACTGGGCTGTTGGGTGCTACAGCCTTGAACGACCGACGCTCTACCTGCCGCGTTCGAGCGATGAGAGGATGGTGTTGACGAACGCGGGCCACCTTGGCTGCGGTGTCCTGTTGAGTCGGTGTACCGTGATGTGACGTGCCAACAGTAGGGGAGTTGCCAGAGCGAGACGCAAAACGTGAAACAAGGTAGCGGAATACCAGCTTGATATCCAGACTCTTCTCCCACTCCTCTTTGGTAAAATCGGTGTCAGCCATGTCAATATCATTTCCAGAGCCGTCACTCTTCTGCCTCCGACCTGGGATTCCAATTGGTTGCGAATGTTGGTGCATAGTAGGCTGGAATTCTGGAACAGATGGCTGGCTGCGTCTCTCGGGTTCTGTCACTGGACCAGTGATGCCAACATCGCTAGATTCTGGAATGACTGGGAGACCAGCATACGGAAGAGGTAAGTGCTGCATCCTAGAATAGGTAGAAAATGCGCCAGGATGTGGTGATAGTTGGTTAACAAGCAGACCAAGCTCCCTAGATAGCCTTTCCAGAATTCGGATCTGCCATGAGGGCTCGTCCGAGGTAGTCAAAATTGGACGATTACTCAGTTGGGAGGCTCGCGGAGTAGATGAAAGTGCCTCCTCGTCAGGCAGTTCCTCACCTAAGAGAATCGACAGCATAGTGTCGTCGATGCCTAGGATATCTTTGACTACCGTACGTGTTATGCGCGCTAAAAAGCCCTCTTGCTCCGTGTGGGGCTGGAATGCCTCTTCATCATGCCATGTTAGATTATCTGTTTCAGCATCCGTATTGCGCCGTGAACGGTGCATAGATGCCAATGACTTGCGTTGTCGTCTCGTTTCTCGTTGAACTTCGTTAAGTAAGACCCGGCTATGCTCCAGGCGCCATGCCTCGATTCGCTGTCTTTTATCCTCTTCTTGGGTCTGAACCTCGTCCAGATCAATATGGGTATTGTCAAAGCTGTCCAGTCTCCGGCGAAACTTGCGAGGATTGAACCTCTCGAACTGATATATCTGGTCCTGTGCATCAGCACCCAGGACAGGCCGATCAAAGCGGAACGAGCCTAGACCATCATGAGAGGGAAAGACTGGAGTAGCATTGTGGCTACCTCGTGGTGACAGAGTATTCAGACCAGGTACGGAGCGAAATTCGGGGAGGTGACTGTCTAGGCTATCGAGCTCAGCGTCGTCGTCGTCATCAACAGCTGACAAAACGGAAGTCGATTGTCTAGCGTGAGATGGACCTTCAGATCTCGCCACGGTATGCAAGCTTCCAACATCACTCAGCCGTGATCGTCCAGGCGTCTCTACAGAGTGTTCTGACTCTGTGAGATATGATGAAGTTGTGACTTCAGTAGGGGGTGAGAACAGCACCCATGCCTGTGACTCATCTAGTCCTTGTTCAGATGTCGACGGTACAACGGCAAGACTCTGGTCTTGGACAGCTGCCGGGCGAGCTGCCCGCTGCACAGGTTGGCGAGTCGGTTGCTGAAAGGCCATGGTGATGATGCCGCCTTGTTCCTGGGACGATGCAGAGGGTGGGCGGGTAGATAGGTGTTGGAATGGATGATGCGATAAGAGCGTTATCTGTCGAGCTGCAGCTAGATGGCTCCGGGTTCGGCACAGTGGGACGCGGCGAGCGTGGGCACTGGAGTCGAGTATTTGGAGACGGTGGTACGCGGGTAGGGCGGAGCAGAGAGCGAGCACCTCGAGCAGAGGATACTCCTCAAAGAGTTAGGGGCGCGGATAGGCGAGCTGCAGTGTCGAAAAATTGGAAAGCGAGCGCAGTAGATGATGGGTTAAGAGGCTGAACAAAGTCGAAGATGGATGTGAGAGGGAAGCCAACATGATAAGCAGGCCAGGAGGCGGGAGTGATGACGGCGCAATGCGATACGGTGAGGCCAGCTTAGTAGAACCGGACCGAACAACAGCCCACTTCCACTGGTGCTCAGGGATAAGGTATCCCAAATTTCAGTTTGTACTCCGTGTTTCCTCAAGTGCGCAGGTGAATCGTCTTGACTCGAGCCGGGGTAGGCGTCGCGTGGGAGGGGCGCTCCTGCCTTCCATTTGCTCCTTCCCAAAGCCCCATTGCTTTGTTGAGACGGCCTGGTCATTTACGGCACATTTGCGATGTATCATCTGTCCTGCAAGGGTGATGCCAGCTGCCGGCCTGCACCACACCAGACTCGTTAAGGTGAATTGTCGAGTTGAGTCGCGCTTGGGAGGCGTCGTTGACATTATTTACTCGCGCGCTGCTACGTACAAGTAGAATAAGGTAGCCAATAGTTGGATGATTGAGTTCCAGTATCACTGTAGTACATGATTGCGTCCTGAGCATGAGTACGTACTCCGTACGCAGGCTGACAGGCTGGCAGAGAGGAGACGAGTGGAGCACACCTTCTAAAGTGGTGGCTCGCGTGCTCAGAGGCACAGGATGCCGCGAATTGCTCGGCAGGCTTACACTTTTTGCCAGGTGCGCTCACGCCCTATCTAGTACCTGGTTATTAGGCATTATATTATAATCCATTAGTATATATTTTACGGTAAGTGAATACATTTCATTATTAAGTATTCAAAGTATATATAAGAGTAGTTCAGTACCAGACAGTGAATAGTGGGGCGATAAGCGCACCTAGCAAGAAGAGTGAGCCGCCGCGCTACAGCCAACGTGGTCGTATGTACCGAGTATTCTCGTCCCATGCCATTCTTCGTTATCGCATTGTTGGCCACAGGGCCACTATGTCCCCAGCAGCTCGGTTCTCATCTGTTGAGCACAAGACGGCCAGAAAATGACGTAGTTGTTGATAGCCAGCCTTACACGATATTGTACTTGACACTTTTTGCTCCGTACATGCATGTCAGTCCGTGGCAGCACAACCAAAACCAGAATAGGGTCCTGTCTTCGTCTCTTTTCTCGACCAAGTGACGCCATCAGCTGAAGGCTCCTAGTAGCATGCGTTGTTCTCCGCTTGCTTGTCGCGTGGCCCAAATCATTAACCCGGCATCCTCGCCATGGCCTCGGCTGGCATCCATTTCCACAGGGCCCGTCTGGTAAATTGGTCCCGACTCCCTCCCCTACAAAGTAACTTACAAGATGTGCTGGAGATGGGGCCATCGGGCAAGGCTACTACACAGACTTTTGATGTGTAGCTGTAGAGACTGAAAACAACAAATATAGTGAACACCTTTACCATCCTATCCTCCTATTCTAGCAAGCGTACTAGCTACATCTGTTGTCACGCAACCACTCCGTCCTCTTGGCATACAGAGCCCGGCATTATTATGCCTACTTGGGCCACATGGAATCTAGATTGATTGAAACACGCGTCCGTGGCGTCCCAATCACCATGATTTGACGCAGCGTGGTAGAGTGGAGGGACGGGCAGCAAGCCTGTTGGGCTGGATGAAACGCGCCGGCAGCCATGACGTTCCCACGCACTCACGACTCAAGACAGCCCCGACTTAGGAACAATAGACGGTGAAAACTGCGAGCTTGAAAGTTGATGTTATTCTACAAAAAAAATAACGCATCTAGGCGGTGGAGTCGGCTCGCTTTTCTGATTGTGACATGGTGGTCATGTCCATTGCTGGAGATCTACATTGACAGTTTCAAAGGTCACGCGGTCTTTCGCAGCCGACGTCCGATGACTAGCCTCGCACCGGTTCCGGCGACCGAGCAGATGAGATTGATTGATATGGCAAGTCGTGGTACTCCGTAGGCTAGTACGCATCAGCAAGTAGATCGACGAGCAAGATGGCTCGATAATCGATATCAACTGACAGCACATTGTACACGCAAAGCCTTAATCGTCTAGGCACTATTCATCACGGTTCAGGCTGTGATACAATCGTTGGCAATTCTCCTTGAGTCTGCTTCGCAAAGCGTTGCGCCATGAGCCTATTTATCTTCCCCATCAGATCAAGGCTACAATGTTTTGTCATACGCACGTATAATTCATATCTAGGCATGGTTATGTGCGTCCGAAGACGTGGTTAACAAGCCTACACATCGCTCATATCATATATCACGCATAGTGAGAAATTTGTGACGAATGCACTATTCTTTGATTTGCCAATTGCGACCGCCTGTCTTAAGAGGTCCCTATCTGACATGCCACTATGACGCCATCCTTAACCCATATGAACCAACAAACCCTTTAAGCGGTGAAAGCGTCGGGGAAGCGGCGCATGTTGTCCTCCAAAGAACCGCGGTTGCTAAGGAACTGAACGTAAGCACCATCGACCTTGACACGGCCAGCAGCCTTGCGCTCGAGGTACTCGTCGCGGCGAAGGGGGGTGAAGCCCCAGTTCTTGGAGATAATAATCTTCTGGCGACCTGGGAACTTGTACTGCGATCGTCGCAGAGCCTCAAGAGCGAGGTGACGGTCTGTTTAAAGAAGAAGAAAAGCAATTAGTAATGTGGCAAAACTTGGCAATGAGTCACGGATTCAAAAACTTACTGGAGTCACGAGTGCGGACGCTCATGATGATCTGACCAATGTTGACACGGGCAACAGTGCCGTTGGGCTTGCCCCAGGCACCACGCATACCGGTCTGCAATCTATCGGCACCAGCGCAAGACAACATCTTGTTGATACGGACGACGTGGAAGGGGTGGGCGCGGACACGCAGGTGGAAACCTTCCTTGCCGCTGTGCTTGACGAGGTACTTGTTGGCGCAGATACGGGCGGCCTCGAGGGCCTCAGAGCTCAGCTGCTCATACTCGTTGGAGACAAGGTGAATGCACAGGGGGAAGTCGTCGACATTGGCACGCTTGCGGCCCAGATCGAAGATCTTGATCTTGGGGTCGGGTACACCACGGTTGAACCGGGACTTGGGGAACGGCTAAAGCAGAACATTGAGTTAGCTACTTGCTTCTGCTTGTTATGATTTTTTTGCAGCGATTCCGGTTGTAGAAAAAACTTGGCGAGGTGTGGATTTGCCCAAAATCTCCCTTCATGACGCAAAAGAGAAGTAGGAAATCCCGGAATCCAGCATCGCAAAAATTTCGTTTCGCAGGTTGAGAAGAAAAGCGGCGGCAACGTAGAAAATTCGAAGATAGAATATCTCACCTTGTTCTTGCAGTATCGGTAGCAACGAGCAGGACGACGAGCCATCTTGTCGGATTTTGCTGGTGCTGTCCTAAAGTTGGTGATGTGTTTTGAGCAAGATCAGTCCAGACCGGGGATGAACCAGTAGTACTGCCACTCGTTCTCGGAATACGCACTACTTTGATTTCAAAGCAGCCTCTTGGTAAGCCGAAATGGTGCATCTCGCTTAAACCTCGGGTCTTTAGGGCTGGGAACAGAACGTTGGTGGATTGTGATTGGTTGGTACAATGCAAGCGGACCCGCCAAATCTTTTTCCACTAAACTGCAGGTAAAATCGCGCCTCCAGACCTTTGAAATGAACACCATCCTACTCTCCATCACCAACAATTCAGCTACAGACTTTAGAAAGCCGAGAGCCGAATAACGACAAGATGGCCCCTCAGAAGAAGAGCAAGAAGGATGCCAACAGCATCAACTCCAAGTTGGCGCTTGTTATGAAGTCCGGAAAGGGTACGAACTTCCAAGACTCAGCCATCATTGTTGGGATAGACCGCTAACCAGATTTTCAACCAATCAGTCACGTTGGGATACAAGTCAACGTTGAAATCGTTGCGATCCGGCAAGGCCAAGCTGATCATCATTGCTGGCAACACTCCTCCTCTCCGTAAGAGTGAGCTCGAGTACTACTCCATGCTGTCCAAGGCTCCTATCCATCATTTTTCCGGAAACAATGTAAGTACAGAACTTGTTGTATAAATCGAACCAATCCATTGGTGATCGATTTACTCTTCATGTGAAATTTGCGACGACTTGTCATCTTGTTTCGAGAGGCAAAGTCTCTGCTAAGTGAGAAGATTGTTTCTTGCGCTCTACCCAGAGAAAAAGTCTTTCGTCTAGACTTTGGAGGGTTCACTTTGGCTTACATAATCTCTTTTCTTTTACAGATTGAGCTCGGCACTGCTTGCGGTAAGCTCTTCCGCTGCTCTACCATGGCCATCCTCGACGCTGGTGACTCCGATATCCTCAGCGACCAGCAGGCTTAAGCGACCACTTGGCGTGCAACTTTTCATGAAAAAACGGCGTTTCGGGGTAGAAATTGGTTTCGGCAATTTTTGAGGATATATCAAGCAATGTGATGCGATAATGAGAACCCTTGATCGAGGGGCCCAACAGGCTATTGGCCCGTGTGGGGTACGCCTCACTGGTATCCTGCTTTTGCAGTGTATAAAGCAGCAGATACTGGGAACAGTCACCTCAATATATCAATATAACTGATGACCTTTTTACTCCTGCCACTACCGTATCCAATTCATCCTTGCTGTGACACTGTTACGTTGAATGAACGACTGTGTGCGCAATTTCGATTTATGTACGGGGTCACCGCTCCGCGAACCTGTAAACAGTGCCCTGGTGCAACGTACCAGTGCTAGGCGCGGCTCCGGGCTCAAGCATGTGTCACGTAGAACATGTATCAAGCGGGGTCTTGGCGAAGTATACTAATAATATCTGTCCATCGGTTTATGTGGTTTCGTTGAAATCAATACTTGAACCAAGTCGGGACCTTTCTTCACACTGGGGAGCAGAACATTGCGTGAAAGTGTATTATTCTGTAGCCATAGTCATGGAAAGATTGCATGTTGGCGGGTGTCCTCTACTGACTGGATAATCTTGGCAGAGACAGTTGTTGGCCATGGGGGCCTTGACTCCCATCAACCGTGATGCCAAGGGGCCTGAAGATGATCAAAAGGCCGAAGCGGTGTATGTACAGTATTCTGCATACAATGTATCCCGTACCCATCACGAGCATGAGCGGGTATTACCACACTTCATGCGGCATGTCAAGGCATATTGTGCATGTGCTAGTAGTAAATGAGTAGTTATTATGTCTGGTGCAATACATGACACCTCATCCTGCTGTAATTTGCCAAGTGGAGGTATGGGACTTTGGATCTGCAAACAGCATCGGGAATTTCCTCTCCAACAAGCCCCAGCAAGAGGAACCAAAAGGTTGGAGGGTGGCAGCCGGGCAACACTAGCTGGTTTCGGGTGTGTTCCCCAGTTTCTGGGCGTGGTGGTGGTGTTTCACAATCAATGCCAAAACAGACGCAGTTATCGTTGCAACGTGGTCGTTGCGAGCCAGTAGCGCGTGAGTACAATGGCATGGACGGGTGGTTCGTATTGGCATTCCTGGCGATGACGGCACAAAGATTGGGCGAGGGCACAGCAGCCATGCCGCGGCCATACTGCATATGCTCAAGCGTCGATTCTAAAATTGCACCGAGGTGGCGACAAGTAGGAAGGATGGAGAAGTTGGCTGGTGACGGATGGACCGAGAGCTAGCGAAGGCTGACGGTGGCTTTTGCCTGACATCGGACTGGATGGAGCCATCTGAAAATTCCACGGCCTCATGCACGTGCAGTTTTGTTGTTGTTGTCGCTGTCGGTGGTTGCTGACAGCTATTTCGCGACACGGCTCTCTCTCTCTCTCTCTCTCTTTGTCACGGAGGAACTTGGCTCTCGTCCATCAACCTCCCCAGGCAGTATTTGTATTGTCCATGCCCGCGCCCACTCAGGACTACAAAGCAGTACTCCGTACTCCGTACATGTATGTACAACATACAACACGTCGTCCATGTAACGAGTGGAGCCCGTTGTCTGAAAGGGGAACGGAACAAGACCCTTTGAACTGACAAGGAGGTGCCAGGCGCTGTTGCTCGTCAACGTTGGAACCCTGCAGCGCCAGACGAGTTCTCCGGTTTCCAATTTGCGCTGAGCACGTCCCCCGCCGGAAGCCTCAAGACCAACCGCTACATGTAATATTCTAGCCAGCACACCAGGCATGCTTACCACAGCAACCATCTGACACCCCCGGATAGACAATACACCCGTGGCATCACGCTCGTCTCATCATCTAGCTCCTTTCTTTATTTTTCCCCCCTACAACACATTTATACATACGTCCGCTCCTTTCCGCTTACCGCCACCTCACAGCTTGACGAGATGTCGGCTGCATCCACCAAGAAGCCCCCTTCCGGCGGTGTGGGCCGAGTATCTGCTACAGAAGCAGGCACCACATCGCCAGGAGCTTCGCCCTCACGAACCACCGCCCCAAGATCGTCGACTCCCACGGGACACGTTCGTACGAGATCGGTTCGAAGTGGCCCTCCTGTTTCTGCTCGCGCCGCAGTCCGCAGAGACTCTGCCGATGCTCGAGCGGAGGCCGCCTCTGCCCTCGAGGACCTCCAACAGCGCCTTGAGAAGGAGGAAAAGCTCTCGGAGCAGTACAAGAAACAGTCCGAGGTGCTTCAATCGAAGCTTGACGAGGCGCTTAGAGATGCCGTCAAGTCGGAAGAGAAGCTTCACGAATATGAAGAACAGCACGAGGTTATTGTGAACGAGATGAAGGAGGCCAAGCGTGAGAAGCGGGAGATGGAGACCATCTACGAAGCCGAGCGAAGCGCCATTCTCAAGGAAAAGGAGGAGTTGGCAAATAGGGAAGAAGAAATGCAGACTGTGATCCAACGGTTAAAGGACAGCCTGGCGCAGAGGAATAATTCCGACGATGATGGCCGCCCATCAAGGCAAGGTAAGGAAGAACTGCCTCGACACCATAGCCCTGCATCACCTTCTCCTGTTACACAGGTGCGCTAACCCTGTGTGTCCTATTTGCTAGGCAACTCATCGCCGTCCCTGGACGGTAGCAGCTTTGCGCCACCCTCCTCTCTGCAGCGGAGTGATTCTCGAAACAACTCAAAGCTCATACTTCAAAAGGACAAGTTGATCGAGTCCTTGCGATTAGAGCTTGCTGAGGCACAAATCAAGCTGGTCGAGTCGGAGAACCAGGGCGGCGGCAGACTTCAAGAGGTTGAGCGCCTGCTCATGGAAGCTCGCATGGCCAACGCCCGCCTCATGGAGGACAACGAGAGCTACCAACTCCTGCTTCAGGAAAGGACACTCAAGGGCGACTTTGGCCAGAACGACTTCAGTTACATGAGCGCCGGTACCAACCAAGACGCGCTCAATGCCCTAGAAGGCAAAACTGGCGGGTCCAGTCTGGCAGATGAGCTATCCGATGCTACGGAGGCCGAAAGCGAGGCCTACCGCCGACTAGAATCCGATCTCAAATCAATGAGGGAGCAAAACAAGGCGCTCACGCTGTATATTAACAAGATCATTGAGCGCTTGCTGCAGCATCAGGACTTTGAGTCCATCCTGGACACGTCTGGGGAGGTCAAGACAGGTCCAATAGATATGAACAAGGACCTTCCTGCACCGCCAGCCGGTGAGAAGCAGGCAAATGGCGCCTCTGCGCTGCTGCAGCGAGCCAAGTCTATTGCCGTTGGTACTGGAAAGCCAAAGCCAAGGCCTCTATCGTTCATGCCATCTGCTGCCAGCTCGGCTCATACGGATCCAGAGACGGCTCCCAGCATTCCTATTGGGAATCTAGGGCGATCTGCAAGCACGAGGCGATCTCGGCCGCAGAGTGATCAGTTCACTGGCGCCGCGAGTCTCGTCAGCCAGATGTACAAAGGACCTGATGGTCCCGCTTCGCCTCCCCTGGGCAACCCACGACACTCGCATACTTTCTTTTCACCCCCAAACATGACAAGCAACCCGACAGTCACATCTCGTTATCCCAGCGGAAGTCAGGCCTCATCCGGGAACTTTCCCGGCATGAGGAGCGAGACGTCAAGCATTAGTGGAGAGTCGGGCGACATGTCAACATCCACACCGCCGTCTCAGTCACCACCGCGCTCACACAGCGACAAGCAGACGACGTTTGCGGGCGGCAAGCCCCGTCCCCTAAGACTAGTACAGGAGAATCAAGATGCAGTCAAGGACAATAAACGAGCAAGCTGGTACACAGGCTGGAGCTGGGGCGGTAAGAAGGACGAAGCCCAACCCGGAGCACCCATTCCCGAATAAAGTTTTAGACGGCACGATTCTTGCATCATTGTGTCCCTTTTTTTTTCTTTTGCATACATAATTTTCTCTCGACCAACAAACAAATGGGCAGGGACTGCAGAGCAGCTCAAATGGCGTCTATGGTGTCGCATCCCCAGGTTC